AGATGCTCACCAGGAATAGGAATCAAAGGTGCACCTGGCATCGACATCGGAAGTCCTTGACCATGAAGCCCGTATAACCGGAGGTTCGATCCTGCCATCTCATGGAGTGTAGTGGCGCCAGAAGATGTGGGCCAAGGCCAGAAAAAGGTGGACCAGAGATTGGAGGCACTTGAACCATAGGGCAAGCAGAAGCTGCGGTATTCGTTTGAGGAAATGGCATCCCGAAACCCATACCTTCACCCATTCCAACACTCATGGGTGAAAAATGTGCAATATGAGCTGCATGCATGTGTTGCATTCCAGTTGGAAACATCATCGGGGGCATATATAAGCCGGCTCGCATGGACATAATCTGCATAAGGTTGGTATTTGATAAATTGAACTTAGTCCGATTACCCTTCAAAGAATCAAGATTCAAAACATTCGCCAAAAAGAAGAGTAAGAGTTGGGAATTAGGAGAAAGAAGACAAAGATCTTACCTGCACCTGTAGTTGGAGTATCTTAAGATATTCAATTGCTTCATCAAGCATCGAAGCTTTGTCCACCTGGTAATGTCAAATGTAAAATGTCAACAGATTTAACACACAAAGGCTATCGGGTCTTTGTTGGTCTGTTTTTAGTTCAATCACAAATCCACGTAAGAATATAATCATGTCTCACGGATTTAACTAAGATTGTAGTCAAATTCAAGAGGCATGAAAGCTCAATGATCTTTTCCAGAATCACATTTGTTTCTAAGAAAACTCCTTTGATTTAGTTGAAAAAGATAAAAGAAACAAATTTAAACGAATGGCCAACCTTGTTGCAGTTTGGTATGTCCTGTAAAGCACGCATCTTCTCATTTATCCTATCCCTTCGCCTCTATTTGTGAATCAAGATCATACAATTACAACACTGCCATATGAAGAAAAATATAGAATTATTGAACTAATCAAATGCACTTCCTCACCCTTTCAGATAAATTATGCAGTTCTGCTACCTTGAGCATGAATTGCTTTTTTCACATCTACAGATTCTTCTTCAGCATCCTACACATGTAACTTGGTTACTTGGTTTTAATGGAAAGTGAAAAAATGAGTTAAAAGCACAGCAACACAAAATAAAATCTATACTTTATAACTTACTTCGCTAGGGCATTCGAACTCCTCATCATCACAATTTTTCCTCTTCAAATTATGTACTACTGAATCATCAGAAGCTCTTCCTACCTTAGTTCCACAGCAAACAGAGGAATCAGCAAGCACAGACTCTACTGCCTTATCACTATGTGGCAGGCGTTTAGAGGCATTTTCACCCCTAACTTGACCAGAGATTTCATCTTTTTGCAGCACATTTTCTTCACCGATAGCACCATTTTGTTCAGTGGCAACTGATGTATCTTGAGACTTAACTTTAGATTCTTTTATATCTGTCTTCACTGGCACTATTGTAGAATGGTAATGAGAAATTTGTTCCTTCTGTAGCTCACTATTTGAATCAATGAGCGTGTAATCAACACTGGCACCTATCCCCTTTTCGTTACTTCCATTCTTCTCATACCTAGCCATAGCACCTATGTTCTGAAGACTAGATTTAACAAGTGCAGCCGGACGTGAAAAATGGGAAAAATTCATCAAGACAGTATTATTACAAGGTGCAACTGGATCTCGTTTCTGCATCTTAATGTCGGACAAATCATCATCTGATGGTTTAACTCCCATTGAATCTCTGCAAATGGCATGGTCGGTGAAGATATGCTCAGATTATTACCAATACTCTGACACGGCTGTGACGGCTAGCTGGTACCACATCTAGGCCTAGCTTCATCATCTGCGGGTATAGGAACCTTCGACAGCATTCCTTGTTCGAAACCATCAGCATCATTCAGAGAAATAATAAACGAATCTTTAATGGATTGCCGATTCCTATCAAATGATGCTAAATTACTACGAGTTGGGATCCCATCTTCAGTAAGCCTGGATAGTTCAGGCAATAAACCAGAACATTCGTTCTCTAAAGATTGATCCTCAGGGTACTTCAGCCAAGGCACCATTTCATCATCATCATGAGACAGCACCAAAATCGGAATTTCACTCAATACAGAGTCCATCACTCCAAACTTTCCCATTTTTGCATTATTCCCACCGTTTCCTATATCTTTATATCTGCTCTCAAAAGTGTGGGATTGTAAGCTGCTACAAGAAGGAAATTTTCTAGCTCTACTGGACTGACCTTGCATCAAAACTTGACCATTTTCCCATACCAGTTCAACAATGTCATTCTCAGGTCTGCAAATCAAACAACACATGTATGATCGAATAACGCCTAATAAACGAACTTTAATGCTAAAAACAGATAGAGAAAACTGAAACTTACACAGAAGACAAATCAGTGGGAGTTGAAGTGTTCTTGTCTTCAGATGAATCAAGCTTCCCCTAGCCATCCGATATAGCTCATACAAAGGCATGATGTTTCTTTGAATAGTCTGTTCAGAATTTTTTGTCTATTTTTAACGCACACACAAGCTACAGCTGCTCGAACCCGGGTACTCAAGGGAGAACCAACATTCTCCTCAATGGATTCTACAAAGGCATAATGAAGAGATGAAAAAGCACTACTTGTGTGCAACAGTTGTAGTAGTGGTCTTTCCTCGTTCGTCGTCGTCGGAAAAAGAGTTGACCAGTCTTTCATGGTCATCGGCATGGTCTTGGTATCGTGCACAATCTATGAATGATGTTCCTTATAGGATGGCAATTTCACCGGCATCCGACCGGTTCTGATCCTTATTCGTCCCAATCTGGTCTGATTTCTTTTTAAAAAAATTCAGGTTCGGGTCATTTTTTTGAAGGTGTGAAGTTGGGTCGAGTCGGATTCGGGTGGAGGGTGAAAAAACTTCAACCCAACCCTAACCGAGGATAATAATGTATTTTTTTAAAAAAATTATTATTATTTTAATTCAATCCTTAATTTGTATCGGATCGGATCGGATCGGGTCAGATTTATACTATAAAAAACCAGACCGGGTCGAAGTTGGGTGGAGAATATATATTTTTCGGGTCGGGTTGACCAAAAACCCGACTAGTTGCAATCCCTAGTTACTTAACTTCTAGTAGTATACATCTTACCATTAAGGATGATATCTGGTATTGGAACTCATAATGCAACGACATCGAAAGTGATATTGTCGCAAGTGACCCGTCTCCGAACACAATAACCTGAAGATGGTCCTCCCGGGACCCGTCCGGTCAAATATAACATTGTCCACATCCCTAAATGACTTCTTTTATCTCCAGCAGTGTTGCTCCTTCGTTGCATTGCATAATAAACATGAACAAAAACACTGGTGTGTATATATATGTAACATATCAATCAACTGTAGTCAAGGATGAAACTAGAGGATTAAATTGTTCAATTTTAAAAATACAAGGGTATATATTATGTATTTAGACTTTAAATATGAGGAAAACTGTTTAATTTGTATGTGAGTAATTAAATATACATATACAATATAGTATATATATCGAATAAGTTACATTAAGCCACAAAATAAAAAATAAAAAATTATGTTTTTGTCAAATTAAATTTTATATTTAAATAAGATCACCATTTTAAGTATCTAAAATTTTCGAATATCTGAATTTGCACACTCTTGTTGTCATGGTAAGTACCTTTTTGTTTTTTCTTTAATTTTTATATTATATTTTTTGTTTACTTTTTAATAATTCTGTTTTCATGACATTTTTTTTACGTTTTTATTGTATGTGTTTTTTGGCTTTATGATACATTATCGATCGTTTGACCATTATGTTAGTTTATCTTTTTTAAGGTTGGACTTGATATCGTTACGACTAATAAAAGATGACACATTTATTATCATGATGATCTTATTGTTTTGGACTCACATATTGGATTTGGGTACACGATTTACATTTGTGAATAAATTTTTTACGTTACTCGACCTTATTTTATAGTTTATTGATGATCTTTCAGTAATTTTATATCTTTTTATGATTTGTTTACGGATGCTGTTAGATCTATTCGCATCTATCTCTTGTTTGAACTCTTTGATTAGATTTTTAACATTTTCTTTATATAATCTTTATGTGACGTTATGTGATTTGATTTTGTGTTAATGGTTATTTGAAAATATTCTAATTATGTTTTAAGCAAGCATTTATTGTAATTTTTGAATATTTTATCTTTTCAATAAAACGATCTGCTTTTATAAAAAATAAAATACTTTATTTTAACCTTTAATTAATTAAACCAAATAAAAAATTAATGATGTTTAATTCTTTTACTTTTTTTATAATTTTTCATATATGTGGGGTTTTTTTTACAATTTTAATAACTTAAATATATTTTGATATATACTTTTTTATAATTTTTAAAACACTTTTTTTCTTTATTTTTTATTTTTTACAATAAAATAATTAATATCAGTATTTGAAAAAAATAGTAAATAAATTGTAACCCCAACATACATGGTTGACCTGGCACGCCATTCACCGACTACGCATGCATAGTTATCAAGACATTGATATTTTAAGTAAACTTTTAAGTTTTTCAAAATCATATTTAATATTTAATTTTTGTTTCATTTTAGTATTTCACCGTTAGAAACTTTGATGTGTTTAGTACTTAAACTATCAATTTTGATCATTTTTAGTATCTAATTTTTTATTCAAAATTTAACATTAAATTTTGAACAATAGTACTAAAATAAAATAAAAACTAAACATTTTGTTATAATTTGAAAAAATTAAAAGTTTAGGTACAAAAATAACCAAAACTGATAGTTTAGATACAAAATATGTAATTTACCCTAATTTTTTGTTGTTGTGGGCTTATTCACGCTATCAGACCTTATAAATATCGAAGGCTAGATTTTTTAAAAAAAGAAATAATGATTAAATTAATAGAAATAATAAACATAAAGGTTAAATTTGTAATTAACCTAAATATTGTATACTTATTTAGTTTACCTATTTACCCTCTCTTTTGTCTCCTTTCTGCCTAACTCTGATTTGTTGTCGAAAAAAAGAGACGGAAGAGAAAAAAGGAGCCCCAAATCTATTACGTTTTACCCGAAAAGAACCCTAATCTTCTCAAGTCTCGATTCAAAGGTACGCAATTTCTCCCCAATTTGCTCAATAATTTCATGTATTCTCTTTTCTTTAAATTTTGAAACTTTTTGTTAGGGTTTCTTCGTTTCTTTACATATATATGTTTGAAGTCATTTTTTTAAAACAAAATTGAAAAGTTTTTTGGCTTCCAGTGCTTCTCGATTTCTCACCTCTATGTCTCTTTTGCAGTATCGACACTCTGCTTGGTGGAAATCGTTGTTCAGAAATCCCCGTGTCCAATTAGGTCAAATTTTCCGCTTTCATTAATCTTTTCACGTTTTTGAACTTGTGCCTCTTGTTCTAATTATAATACAGATTCGTTTCTGCATTGACCAAAATCGACCCTTAATTCGCCGTTCCTTAATCAACACTTGATTACTGAACTAGGTTTTTGTTGTTTTCTCTACCATGAAAGTTTCTGACTTTATCATTCAAACCATATGTTCTGCTTTAGTTGTTTTGTTTCTATGGATTGTCCTGAAGTATTTTTCGTTTTCTCTATGATTGACAGGTCATGGCTGCAAAAAGGGTGATAGCCGTTTGTCAGTCGGGTGGTGAATTTGAGACTGACAATAGTGGGGCATTGTTGTATAAAGGGGGGGATGCTCATGCGATAGATGTCGATGATCAAACGAAGTTCGAAGACTTCAAGACAGAAATAGGAGAAATGTTTAATCTTAGCATGGATACTATGTGTATTAAGTACTTCCTCCCAGGTAATAAAAAGACTCTCATCACTGTCTCCAATGAGAAGGATTTAAAGCGGATGATAAAATTTCATGGGAATTCTGCTACTGTTGATGTGTTTATCATAATGGAGGAGGAAAATGATGCTCATGATGTTTCTAACATGCCAGCCAGTAGGTAGTTTTCTTTACTTGTAAGATAAAGGCTTGGTTGTAATTTCTTGATATATTAACCCAAAGCTGAGTGTTTTGTTTTTTACAGGTCGAGTAGGACATCTTTGTCTGAAGCAGCTCCAGTCGATCCACCTCTTGCGGCCCCACTTGATATTGTTGATGCCCACAACAATCATATTGATGCACCTATTGAGACGGCAACTGAGATTTCATCCATACTTACTCTTTCTAAAAGCACTCAGCAGTGGCAGAATACAATTACAGGGGTAGGGCAAAGGTTCACTGGTGTTCAGGAATTCCGTGAGACAATACGTAAATATGCCATTGCACATCAGTTTGCATTTAGGTACTATAAGAACGATAGCAATCGTGTGACTGTTAAGTGCAAAGTAGAAGGCTGCCCTTGGAGAATTCACGCGTCAAGGTTGTCAACCACTCAGCTGGTATGTATCAAGAAGATGAATCCAACACATACTTGTGAAGGGTCTGCTTTGAGCACTGGGCATCAAGCAAATAGAAGTTGGGTAGCTAGTATAATAAAGGAGAGGTTGAAAGCTTTTCCACAGTACAAACCCAAGGATATTGTGACCGATATAAAGGAGGAATTTGGGATACAACTGAACTACACTCAGGCTTGGCGTGGAAAAGAAATTGCCAGAGAACAGCTTCAGGGTTCATATAAGGTTGCTTACAGCCAGTTACCACTTTTCTGCGAAAGGATAATGGAGACCAATCCTGGCAGTCTTGCTACGTACTCCACTAAGGAAGACTCTAGTTTTCATCGCCTCTTTATCGCATTCCATGCTTGTTTGTGCGGCTTTGTAGAAGGTTGCAGGCCTCTCCTTTTTCTTGATAGCATACCCTTGAATTCCAAATATCAAGGTACCTTGTTGGCTGCAACTGCTGCTGATGGGGATGATGGCGTATTTCCTGTTGCCTTCTCTGTCGTAGATGCTGAAACCGATGAAAACTGGCATTGGTTTTTGCTACAACTGAAATCTGCCTTATCAACAACTTTCCCTATAACATTTGTCGCAGACATACAGAAGGGTTTACGGGAGTCGATCTCTGAAATTTTCAAGGGTTCATTTCATGGTTATTGTCTCCGCTACTTAACTGAGCAACTCATTAGAGACTTGAAAGGGCAGTTTTCTCATGAGATGAAACGGCTTATGATTGATGACCTTCATAATGCTGCTTTGGCACCTAGACCTGAACTCTTTCAGACATATCTCGAGAGCATAAAAAAAATTTCACTGGAAGCTTACAATTGGGTCATACAAAGTGAGCCCCAAAACTGGGCAAATGCATATTTCCCGGGTGCTAGATATAACCATATGACATCAAACTTTGGGGAACTCTTTTACAGTTGGGTGTTGGATGCACACGAATTACCTATAACTCAAATGGTTGACGTCATACGTCAAAAGATTATGGAGTTAATTTATACCCGCAGGGCTACTTCTGATCAGTGGTTAACAAGGCTGACTCCGTGCATGGAGGAAAAATTGGAAAAAGAGGGCATGAAAGTTCGTACGCTTCAAGTGCTACTGACTACTGGTAGCATATTTGAGGTTCGTGGTGAGTCCACTGAAATCATTGACATGGATCGTTGGGATTGCAGTTGTAAAGGTTGGCAACTTTCTGCTTTACCGTGCTCTCATGCTATTGCTGTTATCACTTGCATTGGGCGAAACCCATATGACTTTTGCTCCAGATACTTCACAACCGAAAGCTACAGGTTAACCTATGCGGAGTCTATACAACCTATTCCAGATGTAGAGAGGCCTCTGCGTAAGGATTCTTCATCAGCTCTAGTGACAGTAACTCCTCCTCCAACGCGCCGTCCACCAGGACGACCTACTACAAAGAAAGTTGGATCACATGAGGTAATGAAGCGACAACTCCAGTGCAGTAGATGCAAGGGGTTAGGGCACAACAAGTCCACTTGCAAAGAGCTCTTGTAGAGTGTTGAACGTGGTAAGTATTAGTTTTTTTGTCACTTAAAAATAGCACCGCTTATCCCTTGAACACCAAAATGGCATGACATTATTCCATTGCATGTTTCATGCAGAAAGCATATCTGTTTTTCCAAACTTGTATTGCATTTTATGAGCATTTGCACTTGCAGCTTCTGCAAATGTGTCACAATGGAGCCTGGTTTCCTGTACTACTTGGGTGATTAATCTTCAGCTTTCATATCAACAAGGATCTGTTTCCCCATACTGCTGCTGTCTATCGTCTGATATTAATATCTTTATTAACTGAATTCTGTGGATGCTATCAGCCGTTGTAACTGAAAGTTTAGCTTTTAGCTTTACCTCTTTTGTTAAGTTTTGTTGCTGTTGCCATTGGACTAACTAGTTCTCTTACTTTTGTGTTTGATGATTGTCAAATAGTTTTATTAGAGGTGCAATTCTATTTGGAGCTTCACGTGGTCTCTAGTTAAAGGTTATGAGTAATGAACATGTCAATGACTAGTAGGAAAACAATGGTTATTTTAACTTGAGCTATTTGCATCCTTGTTGATGGAAATCCATATATTACCATTGACTTGGATCAAATTTTGTTGATGTATAGTTAGTGAGAGATTGGTTAGGTGTTCTGCCCCATTTTAACATTTTAAGTTGTGAATGATTGTGTTGCTTTTCCAATTTGGCCAAGCTTTTGGATATTTGTTATGGAAAACATTGGTAATTTCATATGTAGAGAGTAAATGGCTATGGGTGCATTACGAAATTAAACTCTACAAGCAATACAAAGATGATGCATAAACATAACAGTGACACCAAACCTAAGACTCGGTGCTCGTATACATTATTCAATGATAACAGTATTAGTTCACCTAAACAATCCATTTGCATCCAAAGAATGTGCTAATTGTGCTTGCCTCTGCACCCTATATCCTCCACAAGTTCATCACATAGAAACCCTTCCCCGTCTCTGCACCTCCGCCCTTATATGCCTGTTGCCTGCACCTATTATTGTCCTCTGCCTCCGCCCTTGTATGCCTGTCGCCTGCTTCGATTGTTCTGCCCTCACCCCCTCACTATGTACACAAGAAGAATGGAACACAACTTTTAGATCAAGTGCATGGAAAAAGCAATTGCCATATAAGCACCATATTGATGGTTGACGTCTCTGAACCTAGTGGCTAAACAGGATCAATTAAATACCATAAACCCAACCAAAAAAAGGTTTATTATGCACATACAGAGAGCAGTGTACACAGCTCCATTTGCAGTCTTCTACCACCGCAGCTTATATCCCCGTAACTTAAAGAAAGATGAGGAGATAGAAAGAACTTCCATCCAACATCAGTTAAGGAGCCGATCAATGTGATACATAACCATGATAGCATATTACTCACCAGAGACTAAACAAGGTTTCTGAAGCTGCTATCAGTTCAGCATTACAAGTGCCTATTCTCACTGGTTAATGTAGCATCTAGTACCAGATTCGAAATGTTACAATGTCAAAATAAAAGTCAGTCACTGCAAACAAAAACAGAACGAAATTAAACTGTGATTACCATAATTTGAATGCCATTGAAGGAAGATCGATGTCATGACTTTTTGTCCTCCTATGGGTGAGAAATGAAGGCATGACCAGAAAATATATAGTATGTACCACTATGGGGAAAGGGTTATCTATGAGGGAGATTTTTAATGAGGCCTCCTATTTCTATCAAAAAAATGTACCACTATGGGGCGGATACATGGTCAAATAAAAAAACCATACCAAGTATCAAGCGCTCTACCATTTCCCCAATGCCTCGGCAAGAATGTTGCTGACATTGTCTTCATCGATTGATTGTTTGTATGTTGGCACTCCCCTACTTGTTACCCTATTAACATTTGATCCGATGATCAATGCATGAGTTGTAGAATCTGGAACATAACCCCTTTCCAACATCAAATCTAACAAATTTCGAGCCTCATCCCGCACCCTTCTATCCACAGGCTATTAATCAGCATATTGAACATTGTTGAATCCAGAATTTCCATTCTCGAAATAATTTTACCGATATCATTCGACACCAAATGTAACTGAGAATGAATCATTAAACAAGAGAAAAATTCATGAATTGTCTCTGAATCAGGCATGAGACCCTCAGTAATTATTAACTTGCAAAACAAAGCACAGTCCTTAAACCTATTCAGTGCACACATACTTCGTATCAGGATACAGTATGCTTCTGCATCAACTTCACAATTCCCTATCACAATTTGGGAAAACATCACCAAGACATCTTTAGCTCTTTCAGATTTATACAAGGCACACATTATAGAGGCATAAGCCGAAGTATAGCAGGAAATACCGGAATAATAAGCCAGTGACCTCAGCTTGACTGCTTCATCCACGTTTCCAACATCGCATACAGCCTTGATCAACATATTGAATGTGGTGAATTCAAGGGGGCATCTACTTTTAGACATGTAATAATATAATTAAGCGGCCTCTTCAATCTTTTCTAGGTGGCAAAGGCCTTCAACTAGCCTTGAATAGCATTTTGAATTCAAAACCTAGAATTTGCACCGAATATAATAAAATTGTTCCAAAGCATCCTTAACTTTTTCAGATTACAGTTACCGACAACAAGAGCTGCATATGTGCCGCAATCAGGAACTACTGACCGTATAATCATTCTACCGAGAAGCTCGTAAGCTTTATTGATCCCCGCATTCTCACAAATCCATCTGAGTAAAATGTTCCAAGAATCACAATCAGCTATGCCTCTCTCAAACAACTTCTCAAGAAGACTTTTTCCAAGAAAAAAAATTACCAGCCTTACAGCAACCTTCGAGCAATGCTTTATGTGGAGAAATTAAGTCATCACAGTTATTCTCCAAGAAACGAAATGCCTCATCATATCTCTCAGCTTCACAAAAACCATTCACTACATCCACAAAAGAATCAACGGGTGGAATCTCACCGATTTCCATCATCTCTTCAAGAACGTTAGTCGCCTCATCTAGACGAAGGTTCATACATAAACAACGAACCATTTTACTGCAAATTACCGAATTCAGCACTAAATCAGCTGCTCCCATCTGCCTTAATAGCATCATTCCTTCTTCGAGTCTGTTCTCTCCACAAAACAAAGGGATAGTGCAGGTATAGAAACTTAAATCCGGCCAATACCCGAGCTCCAACATTTTATACAAAATGAGCACTGCATCATCAACTCTACCATTCAAAACAAGACCTTTTAGAACAATCTCAAAGGTCCTAACATTCGGACTACACCCCTTCTTTCCCATCCTCCTAAACTGATTCAACCCCAATTCAATCATATTGGTCTCAAACAAAACCTCCAACAAATGGTTCAAAGCATCAACATTGGGTACAATTCCCCCTTTCACCATCCCCTTATAAACAAACATGACACGTTCAAAATCTGTTTTTCCAACAAGAGCACCCAACAAATCATTGAAAACGTCAACAGAGGGATTAAACCCACATGATGTCATGTTCCCCAAAACCAAAACCGCCTCGTTTAGCCTAGAATGTCTAACGAATATATGAACCAAAGAAGCAAGAGCCTCACCAGAACCCACGTGTCCATCTCTAGCCAAATTCAGACAAAAATGGTCCATTTCTTTGACATGTCCAGCCAAACCCAGTTTCAAAATGATGTGGTGATACGTATCGGCGTAGTGGTTGAAGCCCTTCTGCAGAGCAGCCCATTTGAATAGCTTGATGGCTGAGTTGAATCCTGGGTTTTGTTCAAAACTCGGATTAAGATGTCTGGGTGTAGATTCTTCTTTAAAGACCCAATTTTTCTTCGAAATCGTCGGGTGATGGAGGGTTTATGGAGGTTTCGGGGTTCAATCGGAGAGCATTGGAGTATGAGAAGGAGAAATAACAGCCGGGGAACTTGAGCCATGGAGGGATGTTGCTGGGAAATTTTAGTTTTAGCTTTAAAAACATTGGAATTAGAAGTGTATTACATATCAACGATCAAATAAGACGGGGAAAGAAAGAGAAGACGAAGTGACTGAGCTGAGAATAGACCTCCGTTGATGTGCGGCTTCTTAAATATTTTGTTGGGTAAACTATGAATTTGGTCACCCACCTATTACTTAGCTTATGTTTAAGTTAGTCAACTATTTTTAAAAAGGCTATATCACAAATAAGTACCTAAAACATATATACTTTTTCATTTAAGTACCTATTTTTTTTTTTTTGTAAAAATAAGTACCTAAAGTTATCTTTTTGGTCAAAATAACTACTTAAAGTACTTTATGTCAAAATAGTTACCTAAACTATTCAAACTTTTTAATCTAAATTCTAAAAAAGTTGACATATGATATTAATTAAAGAATACTTTAGGTACTTAGATGAAAAAATGAATACTTTAGGTAACTATTTTAATCGAAAAGATAACTTGAGGCTATTGTTAATGCTATTCCTTAGTGCGATTCACTAGCATCATAGAAAAAAAACTCTCCTTATCAACTGATTTTTTTAGTGTTAGTGATTTTAGACTAAGACATGTTGTTTAGAACAGTAGAAAAATTATGTTAAATTTATACGTAAATTTGAATAATTCAACTTGATTTTTAAATAAAATTTAAATGATAAAATAAGATTTATCGACTTGATTAACTCGAAGAGTAATGTCTAGTGGATATTCATTTTGAAACATTAAGATAGTTTGATTAAAATGGTCCTTCTCAAACCTATAATTTTCACTACCTGATGAAAAGATATACAAATCTATGAATATAAATTTTGGAACATTAAGAATAAGCCATCTCTACATCTCGAGCGGCTTTTCCGGACGAGGAACATCGTCACGAAGACGAGGCTGCCATGAAGTAGTCATCTGGGAACTCAAGATCACCTGTTTCTTCCCCAGCAAGAATAAAGTGGTCTATGGGAAGGTGCTTGATTCGAAGATCAATCGAGAAACGAAATATGTCATTGACAGTAGAATGATGCTGCTAAACGTCGGTTGAAAACCGACCGACGTGGACGTCGATGTGTTGAAGGTGGGAGGTAGGTTGGACCCGAAATCACTTGTGGCAGCAGAGCCTGTGCCAGGGGTGCTCGAGTTTAATACTGAAGGTGGGGTGACCGAGCTGCAAAACACAATCAAGATCATTTGTCCGGTTCATATGTAATACATACTAATAGTGTATATGTCAAAGTGATCAAAATGAACTCTTTACCCTGGTACACCTGCCCCTATTGATGTCGATGTTGCTGGTATCGCGGTCAGAGTGGGTTGTGATCCCGAAGATGGGAAAATGCAGGATCCAGTGCCTATTAAGATTAGAAGGTGTATCATTGAACATTCAAACGTTTCGAAAGATGATTAACTCGAACAAATTAACACATCTTACTTGGATTGGTGTTCACTATGGTTGCAGTCCCGCCGAAGTCGCAGCTTGTCGGTGCCGGGTTTTTCTGATAGTAGGTATTGAATGCATATGATGCATGGTTTTGCAATGTGTTCGGATTATAACAGTTAGCACCTTGCTGGATCTGCGAGCAATCGACTCCTCCGATTCCACAAGCGTAATCCAACGCCGATTGAAGCAAAGTCTGTGACGCTCCTGTCATAGCTACGCACCAGCTCTGCCCTGGAACTGCAGGAGAATTTGTAGTTGAAGTACTAGGAGGCACAGGATTTGGCACCGGTGTGCTCACAGGGACTCCTCCCATAGGGGCGGGATACGTCGTTACGGGATTCATCGCAGGCTGCTGCACCCCTGCCCCTGGCACTGTGATGGGTGCAGATGTCGTGATCGGATTGGTTACCGGTACCGTAATCGGGTTGTTGGGATCTGTAGAAGGTACCAAGATCGGTGCCGGCATATTCGCAGGGTTCTTGGCGGGCACAGTGACGATCGTCGGGGTGGGATTAGTTGGAGGGAAGATAATATCATGTTGTGATGTTCTTGTGACGCCATTGAGGAGTATTCTACGAGAAGAAACAAAATCTTCCATTGTTGATTTATCAACCTTAGCAGTAACTTCCCCTACCTCAGCTGCAGTAAAAACAGAAGGAGTTATAATTAATGCATCATGCATGCATATATATATATATACACTAAAGAATTTTTCTACAGTTAAAACTCTCAGGTTCAAGTCATATAGATAGAAACCGGAAGAGTTTTCTTTTCGGGTACGATATCGGATATATTTCCGCTATCGGATACCGAAAAGAATGTAGAAGAAAGTAAAAGAGGGGCAATGGATAGAAGAGATGGGGATTCACTTACCATAAGAGCAGATAACAAGAAGAAACAAAAGGGGTGAAAAGAGGCAATTAGAACCCCCTTTAGCCATTGATGAGAGCTTCCCCTTCTTCTTCTTCTGGGTTTTGGCTGAAAGAGAGACCCAACAGTGGTGGTGTTTTAGAAGACAAAGATCGTGTGTGTGTGTGTGTATATATGTGAAGCAGTTGCCAGTTGCTAGTTGGATAGATAAAGGTGACGAGAGAAGAAGGAATATAAAGCTAAAGGATGATGACCATGTTCCATGTAATGAGAAAAAGGAAACATCTTACTTTGTCGTTAAGGATGGGGATGGATATGTAGGATTGTGGATGATCACATTTGATTTTTCGCTTCTTCATCTCTTTTGGTTGAATTATATTTTGGTCCCTTCAATATGTTCAAATTTAAAATTCAGTATTTCTACATGTTTATACAAGTAAGGATTTGATATCAAATTCTTTGTTACTCCATTTATGATTCAAGTTTTATTTGAATTCAAACGGGTCAATCATATTCCTATAAAGATTTTCGAGAGAGGAGGAGAAAGAGCTTCGAGTCTATTTTAACTACAGGTATGTGTCATATTTTAGAGGAAGACGAAGACATTAATTCGGCATTATAAAAGAAAAAAAGACCTTAAAATTTAAAAATAATGACTTGACACATCTGTATATATTTCTTAAAATATATCTTAAATTTGAACATAATAAATATCTCGGTTTTATGGTTTTGTCCTGACTAATTCGGATCGACCTATGTTGTCTCCTTGACTTTGGTGGATGAGACTCCCAGGGGATTTTCTGCATACACAAGGACTCGAACCCGAGTTCTTATTTAAAGCGGAATAAAACTGCTTACCAATTAAACCAACTCCGTGGGTAGGTATACTTTGATCCTTCCTTTCTATATTCCTATGGTGAACAGGTTAGTTATTGCTTTTTATTAAAGTTTAAATATCATTGGTTGAAATTTGATTAATAGTTAATTGTTGTACTTCGTTATCTTAATTATATTTGGCTCTTTGAAGTCTTAATCAATATGGTTCATCAAAGTCTGTATGTTATTGGTTGCTATAGGTATTAACTTAGAAAATTATACAGCTGTGGAACTTTGAAAAATTACCAGCCGGCATGAGTTATTTATTTATTTTTAAGAGTAAATTACACGTTTAGTATCTCTAATCTATCAATTTTGACTCGTTTTAGTATTTAAACTTTCAATTTTTTTCAAAATCATACAAATCGTTTAGTTTTTATTTTATTTTAGTACTAGTCGTTAAAAACTTAACAACAGAGCTGACCGATCAACCGAAATAGTAGAATCTACCAACAGTTAGCCCCATTTCAAACCTAGTCCAACCCAACTTTGACCCTTAGGAAACTGGCCAAGAACCACCTCTCTCGGTGGCCTCCACTCCAAGTGACGATGAACCAACAAGGAAGTAGTTGACCCGTTGGTCTTTTCTCTAACCGTGGTGGTCGTATCACAACAACTTCGGATGGTTGACGATGAAAGCTCACCAAAAATCAATATTAGTCGAAGCAAGGGCAAGGGAAAATCAAAGGAAACGGTAGATGAACATAGGATTTTAGATTTCCGGTAATGGAGGCATCAGTTGGAAGATTCCCACGGTGAAGATGTTGACGTTGAGGACGATATATCTCAAAATCGACACCATTAGATGGTTAGCGGCGACGAACGTAGGTGTTTTACTTTGAAGGAGTTAAGAAGTTTTTCCAAGATCTATGACAAACGACAACGATTTGGGGTAAACAAACTTTGGATCCATAATCAGAAGGTCAAAGCGAGTCAACTGGTGAAGTTTGATCTTGATCGACAACTGGTGATAACGGTAGACGTGATGATTATCGATAACTGATCGGTGAAGCACAACCATTGTTGATGCAGCAGTCACCAATGGAAGGCAATGTCAGTTGTGTTGTAAAGTTTTTAACGGTGGTGTATTAATATGAAATAAAAATAAAATATTAGGTATGATTTTTTTTAAAAAAATAAAAGTTTAAGTACTAAAATGAATTAAAATTGATAGTTTAAATACTAAATGTATAATTTAACTTATTTTTAAACAATTAAAGTAATTATAAGGTGATATTTATTCAGACACACCCTTCTTTTTGTAAGGTATTTTTTTCTTCATGTGATTAGTTTATATATTTAGATAATTTCAGAGATATGTTCAAGTTATATAATTAATTTACTCATGCGTTTTCTTCTTTTTATAGTTTGAGATATTTTCTCTTTATTTAAGAAAATTAATAGTTATTATTAATTAAATAATATTATGTTACAGATAAAATTTAAAATCTGACTCGATTTTACTAATTTATATATATATATATATATATATACGAAAATGTCAATTTCTTTATTGATTAATTTGAGATAAGTATAATATAATATATGTTTGAAGATAACCTTAATATTTGACATTGAATGCTCACACCCTAACATTCTTAATACTTGAACCGAGACCTCAAAAAATAATAACAATTCCTTTACCACTAAGGTTGTGTAAGATGTCGAAATTTTTATATAAATATTATAATAATGTTTTATACATGATTATAAATTATAAAAATACAACTACATGGATAAATGCATTTTTTTAAAATCAGGGAAGATGTAAAATAAATGAGAGGTAGTATAGTATCGGTGGAGTGGATTAATTAAGACTAATTAATCATAAGGATTCCTTAAAGACTTCAACAAATCGGGGATGTCATAACCCAACATGTCATCAACATCTTGAATCATTTTAGGCTTCAGCTTATCAAATCTGTCAAAGCTGTAACCCCTCAATATCTCCTTAAAAGTTTCCACATTCGGGAAATCCCCTGGAGGTAGGTGATGATCTCTTTGAACCTGTATATATACACATACATACATGACATGACATGCATACCCATTTCACCATTTATCTTAACCCCCCCAAAAAATTGAATTTGATCATTTCAGTTATCAGACATCAATTACTCCCCAATTTAGAGTTTGAAGGGATTAAGGGTAGCTTAGAGATTGTATCAGATAATTTTGAAAAATGGGGTTCAATCACTCATATTCTTGGTCAAATTATGATTTTGGTCGAGAATTTATATTCAAATCAGGGTTTAGCCCCTATAGTTCATTTAGCATAATTTAATCATGTACATTTATTTTGTCTTTAGCTGATCTAAATAGTTCATACATAAATTTTTTCCTTAAAAAATACTATTTCCAAAATAAAGAAAGGTTAGCTTGATGAGTTAGACGTAGTGTTTTCAAGAATTCCTAGGTTATTATTTTTGCTAAATAATTAACAGAATTATTGGTTAACCAATAATATCATAAATGGATGAATTAAAATTATTAAATCACATACTTGAACATAATAGAGGGACTGAAATCATTATTTAACCTATTTGTTTATTCTCACGGGTTAATTCTATTTGACATCGACATAAAATCTCTAAACTTTACAATTTAAGCCTTTAAAATGTTGATGTTATATCAATTAGGTCATTGTGTTAATCTAGTCTTTAATTTAGGCACTAAATAATAGCTTGAATTTTTTTTTAAGTAAAGCTTGGATATAATATTGAGCATATATAAAACACGTGGACAACATCCTAAACACTTGTGTACATATTAGATGGATAATTTTGATTTAATATTAAAAAAAGGTCCTAAATTCTAATCATTAATTTTTAACACATTAGATATAACGAAAATGTTCATGTATGAAATTGATGTTTTAAGGGTCATATCAGATTACGTCACGAAAATGGACGAATCTGTTAACGATAAAAAAGTACATATGTGAAATTGAGAATAAAAAGAAATTGTATATCACTGATTGAGAAATCAACTATAGTCCATGTACCAAATATGTATTTAATCCTATTTAAAATTTGATAAATATATTTTTTAATATGATCCATATTTGATCCAAGCTCTAATTTAATGCCCTAGATGACAAGTAGGCTAATGGAAATATCTAATCGATACAATCCTCAGATTTTAAGGATTCAATTAAAATGTTTTAAAGTATGAAGACAAAAGTTAAAATTTAGGCCATATTATTTGAGGGCGTCAGATGGAATTAACCCTAACTTTCACCTAGGGTGTCTTAATTCTAGTTTGTGTGTGTATAAAAGCAATTGGCAAAAATGCCTCGTAGGTACCTGTAATTTTAAGAAAAAAACTAAAGTGGCTCTCGTATTAATTTTCTCTCTATGTGACCCTCAGACTCAGAAAATAAACCCAATGTGGCCCTTTGACCAACTTTTTCGTTTTTGACCGTTACGGTGCTGATATGACAATTCACGGTACTGAAGTGGCGGTTCATGGTACTGAAGTGGCAGTTCACGATACTGACGTGGTAGTTTAGGGTGGCAAAATAACGTAGCAGATGACATGACAGATAGACTAAATTGGTAACTCAAACATGGCAGATGGACTGTCACGTCAGCACCATGGATAGTCATGTCAGCACCGTAAACTGGCACGCCAATACTGTAACAGTCAACGACGAAAAACGTTGGTCAAATGACTATATTGGATTTGTTTACTGAGTTGGAGGGCCACATTAAGAAAAAAAATAATGCGAGGACCACATTATTTTTTCCCAAAAGTACATGGATCTTTTATGTCTTTTTGCCAAAGCAATTTATGTATTGCAATACCCATCTAAATAGTCAATTAATAGATAGGATACCGATGGTTATAGGAAAAACAATTTATGCAAAAACATGAGAGACAAAGAGAGGGTACCTTTACGAATTCGTCTTCCAAATTATCAGTTAGTCTCTGTTGGGTACTAGCTTTCCCAAAGAATGCAGGCATTTCGTTCTTAAGATGGCTGACGATATAAGCATGTATCTTGGCTGCTCTAGCACGTTTCACAAACTCATTTATCTGCAAGTTGATTCATATCCATGTTTCTCAATACTTTTCTTCTTCAATACATGTGAAACTAAATGTAACATGAACTTACTCGACGATCACAAGCCTTCTTTGGTATGTCTTTCAAGTCAGAAAGAAGGTCTCCTTGTTCTTTCTCGAACAATTCTTTCCCGATTGGACCCGTGAAATCTTCGTTCACGGGCTTGTCTTTGAATGATCTGCCATCAAGTAATGAATGCGATCGTGATTGCAGACATAACGAATGTGATGACAAGAAAGGGCTTACCCAATATATACACGCACAACCTCAGGAGTGTTGAGGACTTTCCCTAGTGACCACATTAAGGCTCCATAAAGTCTCATTAACTATCATGAAAAGGAAAGTATAAGCAACTCAAAACCCTACCATTTGAATCATCTAAGAAGAAAATTTCTGCCATGGACACATCTTGGCGTTCATCATGTTCGTTGCAATTATAAACATCGATGCTGAATAGGGCGACGGAAGGAAAAACTGAAACCGGAACACTGCTGTCATATGTAAAACAGGGGAGATATGGTGCTTACTTGTTGAGTATCAACTTGGTCGGCCTTGTTGAAAATGACACGAATCTTGTCGTCGTGACCGCGCAAAGAATAAATAACACGCTTGAATTCGTCACTTATATCTAGCTTGTGAGGATCAAAGAGAAGAAGAATAAGATCACATTTGGCAGCAAACCATGAAGTCACGCCTGTAAAATCATAGGCTCTTTGTGTTCTCTGTTTTTCTCCTGACAACACTCCTGGTGTATCTACTAATGTTATGTGCTCCAAGAGCTTTCAATACATCAAAACCACAAAATATTAGATTTTGAGAATTAATGATCACGAGAGTAGATTAGTGTTTGAACAATTAACTCACATGGTGCGGCATTTGAGAACACTCAAATTTTGACAAAAATGCAGTTCCGAAAGTATTGAGACCAGTAAATGGCATGTCAGCTTGAACTGCTATAGTATTTCCTGGCACACTTCTTTCATCAGTTCCCGACTGCATGCACAGAAATGGCAGTACAAGAAACATGAGATTAAAACAAAGCACTCGGACTTAAAGGTGATTGTTGATTATGAGTACATATCTGATACGAATATATTCATTTCTTTTTCAAGTTTGTTCATATATTTGGAAGATTATACTCTTACAATCACGTTAAAATATGTGTTCGAATTAAAATATCAAATCGAGTAAGTGATGTAAACTATTCATACTGCATCGATGATATTATCACAGAACAGAAATTCTGAAGTACCATAATAACAACAAATCTGTCTGTCGTTGGTTCAGGTCCAATGTGAGCTCCTGCAAATGATGGTGGGATAAATTTTTAATTAATTATTATTAGTGTTCATGTTCATATTATTTTTTACATTACATCATATTTTCAATTAATATTATATTCATATCAGTGAGGATCACTTGCCTGGATAACTGCACTTAAGCAAGTGTTTAATGAAGCTCGTTTTCCCAGTGGAATACTGACCCAAGAGCATAACCATTGGCTTGGCATCAAAATCACTGTTCGTCTGCAATAAACAAAATTCAGAGTTAAAACATATGATTTCCGACTCGGGTGAGTATCGAATATATATTTTTACGTAAGATCATATCTGTGTCTGAATGTGTCGGATACATGTGATATGCATGGATATTTAAGATAAGATCAAGTCCAAATTCAGAGAAATTACATCTACCACTCACCAACAATGGGGACACAAAATCATTAAAACAATATGCAACTTCTAATGGCTTTAACTTTTGATTGTACAGTTTCTTTAAGCCATCTTGGACTGAAGTCACATGGGACAAAAACTTCTGTTTTATACAGAAAAATGAAAATTAATAAACCATATATGCTATGGATGCATATAAGTAAAAACACAGTTAAAGAGGTGAAAGGAACCTGTATTAGGACCAGGAAGCAAAACAAGTTCAAGAAACATTGAGAAATCAAACCTGTGATGGTTTTGAAGAAAACCATTGAAATGTAATTGGTGCTGGTTTTAGAGAACCACCTGCATTGTCCCCAAACTGTGACATCATGTTGTGATCGTTATATAAATCCATTGAAATCTAATAAGAGATTCATATACCGTCGCTTTCGAGTTTATTCGAATACAAAGGATCTTTCTTCTTCTGGATAAATCAAGCAAAATAGTAAGGATATCATGACTGTGAAGCATATGAAACATAGACTTCAAGAGTAAAAGAAAGCTTATCTTACCTCAATTAATTCATCCAAACCTTCCATTCTAGGAGGTTTGATATTCTCAAAGTCCACTGCAATACATCACCATAACTTAAAATCAGAGGCAAGCTAATTATAAGTAGAAAAGTTTTCAATAAATACTCAAAGCTAAATCATCATACCATCACCCTTGAGGAGGATATCATGTGATATTTCATGACCACCTTGTGCAAGCGAAACCAGCTAAATGATGAAGGTAATAGTTAGTCAGCTTTGAAGAAATCAGCCAATATATAATCCAACTATTACCCGGACTCCTTTATCTTCCTCAAAGTATCCTTATAGCTCATGCATCCGATACACGATCGGCCATGAAAATATATTTTTAGGATGGACACGTATATATTAATAACACAAAATAGAAGGCACAAAAAAAATATCATGATAGGCACAAATAGTAAATAGATAACAAACATAAGGAGAATTAGATTTCAGGGTGGACAATAGCAAGATCCTCCACTAGACATGAAAATGGGATATAATCCTCGAAAAATATTGGGGATTTTTTTGAACCCAAATAAGTATAATCAGATTCCAAATAAAACTACAACTGCATACCTGCATACAACAGATGAATTCTTTGAAACCTAGATATCCCTGCCTCTTGGAATCCGCAATCGCCCATATCTTCAAGCAATCATCAATACAATAAACAAATAAACAAATGAAGAAATATCAATCAAAAAACTTAACATTAGATTCAAATTAAGAAATTAGAAAAGGAGATTAACCAGCTTGAGATCTTGTCGAGATAAACCGGACATAGAAAGAAACTTTATTGCATTATTTCCAGTGACGCGGCCATCATTATCTACCCCAAAACCAAAAAAAAATACATAATCAAATATGATTAAAATTTTGAGGGGAAGAACATTAAGTAGCTAGAAAATCACCTGAATCAGCCACCTCGAACCATTCTTTATACATTTTCTGGACTTCTTTGGAGCACGAACCGATCTGAGGGGTTTGGATCTCCATTTCCAAAGAGACGATCGTATGAATCAAACGAAACTGGAGATCGAAGCGAGTCGTCGCCGGAGAATGAACATGCGGTGTATGGTGAATATTCAAAGGTGACAACAATGGTGGAATCAATGTAGAGAAAATGTATTAGATAATGAGAAAGAGAGAAGGAAATCATAATACGTACCGGTTTTTAACGAACTGGTGGAGGGAATCTCCTTTCATTAACTGCCATTCATGGGCTTATTTTATAGCCCATTAAATTGGGCTTATTTAATTCTTTGATTTTTTTAGTTTTTCAAATAACTCGGGTAGGGATAATCGTTCGACCGAGTCGAATAAAAGAAATTTAATTCATCCGAGTTGAGGAATTCTATTTCGTAACTCAAATTTGATTTGAATTTTTTTGTGTCGAGGCAAGTTTATCCAAATAACATTTTTATTCAAATTCGTCACATTGACGTGATAAATTTCAAAAAATATATTTTTTATTAGAATTTGTCTCGTCGGAATGACAAGATTTAGTAAAAATATATTTGTTTGAACTCTTCAAGTCACTGTAGTAAATGTCGTAGATCTTAAATTAATTTTGGGATGACCCAATGGGCCAATGTTTTCACCCGCCTAATCTATTGGGTCAATTTTACCGATTTTGACCCTTTGCATTTGACTTATTTAATTATTCAAAATTTCTAGTATTTCAAATAATTCGAATCGTTAATTTTAAATCTAAATTAAATAATTTAACCAAAACAATTTATTCAAATTGGTTAATTTCCCTTATTTGCGAAGCTGTTGAGCTTTTATATGAATAATTTGTAATTATTCATACAAAAGTTATAAGTTTAACAAAATAATTTTTATTATTTTATGAATAATTTGTAATTATTATCTTTTTACTAGTGGGGTTAATTTTCTTCATCTTAATCTTGTATTGATCAAGTTTTCGTATACAAATTTTCAATAATCAATATCATAGATGTTATTCAAAACTTATCATTTTGCGATTATAAAGTATCGTTTGATTTTAAAAGAATATATCATTACGGACAGTAACGGATGTTTGCACAAGTCAGAGTTGTCACGTGTCCATCCTGAAACTCGAATTTCTCTATATCAATTACTTCAATAAATTATCATCTAAGAGAGAATTGATATTATTAAAGATGTTAAATGGAGACGAAGATCTCAATTAATCTAATTATTAAATATTTCGGCAACAGTCGCAACAATTAGAATCCTTTACATCTACGATTATATAACGGCAACAGTCGCAACAACTACAGCTCTCAGAGTCCATTAAACCCTAGCATCATCAACCTAGGGAGAAGATGATGATGATGATGATGATGAGAGGAAACAACCAAATGAATGCTCAAAGCGAGGGCGGCAACAACGGAGTGAGAGATGATGGAATGGTGTTGAAAAGGGGCTCGTGGACGACGGCGGAGGATGCGTTGTTGACGGAATACGTGAGGGCTAATGGCGTAGGGAACTGGAACTCGGTGCAAAAGAACACCGGGCTGGCTCGATGTGGGAAGAATTGTAGGCTTAGATGGGCTAATCATTTAAGACCTAACTTGAAGAAAGGACATTTTTCTTTACAAGAAGAAAGGATGATTATTGAGTTGCATGCTAAGATGGGAAACATTTTTCTCCAAATTCAGCCTCGACTCCACCACCTCTTAATAGCCCTTCCAGTTCGACACCACCACCACCTATCTCCCCCCTTCCATCCCCCCAAATCCAACCGCCTTTCCCAACTCTTCCTCTCTTCGATTATGATTTCTTCCATGACAACAAGCGGTTCAAGCACGATGAAAGCTACAGCAACAACAACAGCTTCATGTTGTCGTTTTTACTTGGAAAACTACTTGAACCGAGTGACACTCGATGTTGCTTCTTCGTCAAGCAATAACCTTTATCAACCCTATCTTGATTCCGTGTTGTTCTATCTGTTCAAAACGGACCAAGAGTCGAGTGATGGTTTGTTGGAGGATATGCTGCAAGATGCTCAAGCGTTGGCTGCCGAAACCAATGGCGGCGGCGGCAACAAGGAAATGTCGAAAGAGATGAACATTACCGCAACTCAACATGATCAAGAGGAAGAAGACTACTCGAAGCTAATCAATGACGATGGTCCGACGTCCATGGGCATGGAAATTAACGAATGGTGCAACAATAGCGGCGAAAGCTCCGACCTGCAACCCTCGGCTATCACAGATAATGAAAATCAACTAGCTCTTGCCAGTGTTCGATCCTCAGACAACTTTCCGGGAATTTTCTAACTTCATTGTGCATTTTTTGGGATAATTTGAATGAACTATTTTAAATAAAAATAAACATGTTATGTAGTGAGGTTGACATTATTTTTGGGGTTGGAAGAATCAACCCGGAATGAGTTTCGGGTCGTGATGGATCCGATTATTAGACCGGTCTGACTTTGCCTACCTATATAATTGTAGATTCAATGATGATCAGGGAGACAGTTAAGCTCTCTAATTATAATGTAATCTCAAAACTAATGCATGTATTTTTCCTGGACGGACACATGATTTTATGTAAGGAGATAAACTTGAAATTTTAAAATTTTAGGAGGATAAAGTTGAATTTAAAAAATCTCAAAGGACGTAATTTTAAATTTTCAAGAGATGACTACCCTACTTGTCTCCCTCGGTGCATCCCTGCCAATATTGATCTATATAAATTACAGTTGTAATTCTACTTCTTCTCCTTCGTAAACCAAAACATTAAAATGAATTCCTGCACTTGAATCTTCGGACACTTAAACCTTTTGATCAATAACAATTTTCGATATGATCTCTAATAGACTCGTAGATCTGTTATAACCAAACCTACTATCAGACGATTATATCTATTTAACTTGTCAAATTACGAATAGCAATTATAGTTATACACTTGACACCGACAGTAAGGATCTCTATGTATAAACCACTGCATGATTTAATTCATGATATCATTAAAGGAGAATAGAGAATGGTTCTTAAATTTATCCATAGTAAATCAAATGAGGCATCTCTTGCAACAAAAATACAAAAGGATTACAGCAGAGAAGATCGAAGATCGATCTTCAATCCTGATTTTAACAAAATTGAAACTTGATCATCGTCGTTGAAATCGACATTGTATTGAGTAGGAAAGGGCATAGTGGGCTAGGAACATGGATAGCACCTTCAAGCATCATTGTAACAGTTCTCATGGAAGACCTTAACATTGGCTCTTCTTGAACACACCAAATCGCTACTTTCAATAACATCTCCAATTTCCCAGCATCATTTGTAGCTTCTTCATCATTTTCGACCAGTTTTCGAATCATTCCTTCACTGTAACATTGGAATGCCCATTCTGTTAGTATAGCTGCTTCGTCCATTTCGACCTCGACGCATCTTCTGCAACATATGATCTCTAATAACATCATCCCGAAGCTGTAGACATCGACCTTGACTGAAACTGGAGTGTTTCTGAACCATTCAGGTGCTATACATAGCCTTTTGTCCCTCGTATGCCGGTATGGTTCAGGTTTTTTTTTTCATCAGAAGCTTTGCTAACTCGAAATCGGATATTTTGGCGGTGAACGACTCGTCCAGTAGTATGTTTTGAGGCTTTATGTCATAATGGATGATCTGTTTGCTGTATTCTTCATGCAAGTATGTGAGACCCTTTGCAATCCCTGATGCAACTGCAGCCTTTGTCGCCAACTAGGCCTTATGACTTCGAAAAGGAAGCTCTACAACGAAGAGTTTTCCATGAACTCGTACACCAGAAGCCTATGCTCGGCTTCATCACAATATCCGATCAGTCTCACCAAGTTCTTGTGGTGAGTTTGTCCGATGACCTTCACTTCGGTTTTGAATTCCCTTTCTCCATCTTGTTTAAACTTGTCTAGTTTCTTGACTGCAACGTGATCTCCGTAGCTCAATGGGGATTCTCCTTTATAAACGGTGCCGAAAGCACCCCGTCCTAGCTCTTCTTTGAATTCGTTAGTGGCGTGTTCGAGATCTTTGTATGTGAAAAACTGCAGATTAGTGTCTAAGTCTCTTCTGCTACGAACACCGTTTAAGTCCTGAAGTTTTCTTTGGAACAAGCAGAAGAAGATCAGAGCAATTGCAGCTAAAGAAAAGAAGTTGAAAACTGCAGAGGTGCCCAAGAGAACCCCAAGGATCAAAAATATTTGATTTCGATTTTTATCTCTACGGCTCGGCCCGGTGGGGTTTTCCCTCGATGCATCCGACTTAAGTACCTTAAATAGAGCTGTTCTATCAAGAGCATCCTTGTCAAACCACCCATTTGAGAGTGGTAACTTCTTTTTCCAACAAGTTCCACTGCCATCTTTACTTAAAGTCGGATCCTGCAAAATGGTGACCGCGCAAGAACAATCGAGAAGGCAAGATTGCTTATATTCCAAATCAGTTGCAGGTCTCAATACTCCGTAGTCACTCAAAGGAAAATTGGCAAACGACATCGGCTTGAACTCGAACCGATCTTCGTCTATAGTGGATCCATCATGGTTGCAATCTACAGGGTAGTTTGCATAATTCTGCTTGCAGCCTGCATATTGATTGTTTTCATCCAATAAGGAAAATCCAGGGGGACATGTACAATTAGGCCTCCCATTGATAGGTTCACAAATGTTGTTATAACCACAAGGACCAGTTTCGAATGTAGCCCTACCGGACTTAACCACCGAGTCGACAAAGCGACGGCATATGTTCTTCAGCCTAGACCACATCACAGACCAGCTTTCACTTCCACCGGGATTCCTTGGATAAGAATAGAGAGTAGTAGTACAAGTCTGGTTTCAGAACAGCATTTACCAGAGCAACCTCAACTAGACTTCCATTCAGGTTCGAGATTTGGATATGCCCCGACTCGTTGAAGACAAACCGAGAACCGTTTCTGAACTCAAAGTAATCTTCATATGCCTTGCCGGTGAAGATATCTATTTGATTAAGAATGAACGATCCATTATCGAAACAAAGTTGATATTTCCCTTTACCGTAACTGTTGAGTTTGTAATTAGTTTTGTTCAGTTATTAATTAGTTAGGAACGATTATGAGTTAGTTAGGTGGTTAGATTGAATAGTTGTGTATATATATGTACTAGTTGTAAACTTATACGTATGAAAATAAAAATAATTTTTCATTTCACTCATATTACAAGTTTAACATGGTATCAGGCTAGTCCATTTCTGCTGGGCCTGTTTCCTACTTGGGCTTGTTTTTCCCCTTTCCATTTCATTCCTCGTCTCTACAGCATCGCCGTTTTCACATTTCCATAGCTTCGCCGTTTTCAAAATGCCTTCAACGATGGTTCCAACTGCAGAATCAACGCTTGTTGATTTCAACCATCCACTGTATCTCCACCCTTCGGATACTCCGGGCACAGTCTTGATCTCACATCAACTATCTGGGCCAGACAACTACACCATCTGGAGTCGATCGATGCGAATCGCGCTCCCTGCCAAAAAAAATTAGGGTTTGTTGATAGACTCTGTTACCGCGATGATTTTCAGCCACCTTTACAAGCACAATGAGATAGATGCAACGCTCTTGTGCTTTCATGGATCCTCAACTCTGTGAGCAAGGAGTTGTCTATTGGAATCGTTTTCGCTTCAAGCGCTGCATTCATTTGGGCAGATCTCAAGGAACGTTTCGACAAGGTCGACGGTTCTCGAATCTTTTTTCTTCATCGTGAGATTGCAACGATGGTCCAAGGTGAGATGTCAATTTCTTCGTATTTCTCACGATTGAAGCTCTTGTGGAACGAGTATGATGCACTCGTACCGTCTTCGAGCTGTACCTGTGCAAGTCCTCAGTCAAATTTAAGGCATGTTGCTCAACAGAAGTTATTCCAATTCTTGATGGGACTGAACGATTCATATACTGCTATTCGAAGCCAATTGTTGTTAATGCAGCCTTTACCTTCGGTCAACAGTGCCTACTCGATGATAAGTCAAGAAGAAGCTCATCGCCTTAAGCTATCTGGCGTCGTTCCTCTTCTGGAAACTACAACATTGTATTCCAATGCTTCTGGCAACTCCAGTGCTCCTGGCAACCGTCGAAGGTTCAATGGAACTTGTGATCATTACAAGGTGAAGGGCCATAAAAAGGAGAATTGTTATCGCCTTATTGGCTTTCCGTCTGACTTCAAGTTCAACAAGAAGAAGGGTTCCCAAGCTATCATGATGGCTCACTCTGATCGTGAGGTGATTAATTCAGTACCACCAGTCTTCACTACTGAACAATATCAACAGCTCTTGGGGCTTTTGAATCAGGCTTCAGCTCCGAGTTCTAGTCCAAATTCCTCTGTGAATTTGGCAGGTACTTTCTGTTCTCTTGCTTATGATTCAATTGAGTGGATTCTAGATTCTGGTGCAACTGACCATATTTTATCATACTTTAACTGCATGATTGATCATATGCCCTGTACATCCACAGTTAAATATGTTCAATTGCCTAATGGAAAATCCCTTGTTGTCACACATATAGGTTCTGTTAGATTTCCTAATGGTCTTCAATTGTCTAATGTACTTCATGTGCCTCAATTCACTCACAATCTCATTTCTGTTTCAAAATTGGCTCATGAATTGAAATGTGCTGTTTTTTTTTATCCTGATCTTTGCATATTGCAGGATCTTTACAGTGGCATGATGAGAGTAATTGGTAGAGAATTTAGAGGTCTTTACATGCTCAGGTTCCCTCCCAATTCTGTTTTTTCTGTTTCTGCTGATACATGTAAACCTTTAGTCAGTTCTGAAATTTTTCTAAACACTTGTAAATCTATTGATGCAAATAAAACAAACCTTTGGCATGCTCGTTTAGGACATGTTCCAACTTCTCAATTAAAAAAATTACCTATGTTTCATAATGCAAATTTGCATCAGGAATCTGTTCAAAACTGTTCTATATGTCCTTGAGCTCGACAGTCTAGGCTTCCATTTCCAATTAGCAATTCTAGGACCAATGCTCCCTTCACATTAATTCATATTGATTTGTGGGGACCTTATCGAATTTCTACTCATGCTGGTCAACGTTTTTTCTTGACTATTGTAGATGACTACACTAGGATGTCTTGGGTGTACTTATTGAAGCTTAAGAATGATTCTATTCCTTGTCTTCGAACCTTTATCTTAATGGTTCAGAACCAATTCTCTGTTTCGGTTATAATTGTTCGTAGTGATAACGGTCGTGAATTCTTTAATTCTGAATGTACTCCCTTGTTTGAATCCTTGGGGATTATTCATCAGAGTTCTTGTGTACGTACTCC